GTCTTTATCTTGAGACGAAAATGCTTAATAGTCTTAGTCACATTTTAGTCATTTGAGTCTTTCATAGTTTTAGTCGACGAAAATTCATTGCATTTTTGTCAACTTTTAGTCATTACTTTTAGTCAAACTGCAGTTACCAAAATTTATTTTGGTAGCTATTTTATACGTAGTCTTCAAACAAAAATTGTCATTAATTCTTCTCTGTTTAGACCAAATCAATTAAGCTTATGAGAAATTTGAATCAAGGATTGAATTTGGAAAAACTTTAATAAATGATGACAATTTTCATTTTTGGGTGAACTATCCCTTTAACAGTAGTGAAAAGGGAGCAACTTATAAAAATTATAGTTGTTCATATATAATATATATAATTTTTGAAAAAGAAGCAGAATAAGACAATAAGACAAATACGAAAGAGATACAAATTAAACTAATTTTTCAGATACAGTAGGTTTTATATTTATTTAACATTTTTTGTTGGTTAACATTAATGACACAGATAGGTACTTAATTAGGAATGCTGTCCCTTTAAGACGGAAGGCATGCATGTAATACTGACACACGTTCAGTTTTCACCCACCAGTTTACATTCACTTAATCCATAACCGAGAGAGCACTTATATCAGCGCGATTCCGCCTATCCCGCCTTCACTAACTTTAAGTTAATCGACAACGAATTGTAACTCCCGGGAAAAACGTGACGTCTGGTCCATCCACTGCGGCTGCCATACTGAGACTAGATATGCAAACGGCCCTCATCCGATTGCAAGCCAATGACAGGGACGCAAATTTTGAAGGACAAGACAGTAGCCTATAGGATGTATTTTGAATGTCAGGTAGTCCTCAAATAACATTATAGTCCCGTCTCGTCTTGTTAACGAAGACGCGGCATAAATTTCATCACAGTTTTTAACATCAGATATGAGTTTTAGCTCGTCTTAGTCACAGAAAAAATGTTCGTTAACGAATATTTTTCGCCGTCGTCTTTCGTTGACAAAATTAACACTGCTAAACACTCCTCCATAAAATGCGTTGCACACATCTGAATATTTGGGTTGAACTGTTCTGGAACAGTGTTTTAAATACAACTTAACATAGCTGCGCTTCGGTTGGCTCAATAAGGTAAAGAACGACTAATGATTTGCTATTTAAGTTCATCTGCGGTTATTGCTTTATTGAATCGCGAATAATGATTCATATTACTTCGACTGAAGAGTCCGTTTTGGTGGACAAGTCTATGCTGACGGTAGCTCTGTTCTGCTGCTACTTTATCTCTTTAAAACCGGTTTGTAAAGAACGCTCGCGCTATAATCATTGATCAGACATGTTAATTGTGAACGCCTTGTAACAGTCCAAAGCGAAAGGAAAACTTGAAATCGCATCATATGACCCCTTTAATACCAAAATGCCATGCTTCCATGAGTGAACAACTATTTCATTCAGAATAAACAAAGCGTTTTCTATAAGACTGATATGATTGGAACAGTCATCTTATGTGAGCTTGTCATATTAATCATACTTTCTCTAAAAGGTTATTAAATTTAATAAAACATAAAACTTTTTAATTAGCAAAACATTACTCGGTGTACATTTTAGACGTGACTTACTGAAAGTGCTTTACATTTAGTACATTTTACTCTCTGTGTGCATGTTTCACACACTCTGGCTGGAAAAAAACATCATTACTGTCTAAATTGTATGAGATAGATAAGCCGCTTATCGTAGGCGAAGGATCCAGTTTCCAGCGCCGGAGCCCTCTGTTGGAGATCCGGGAAAGCTGTGCAAGCCCAACCCTCCATCTCTCTCTCACAGCACACTGTAGATTTAACATGGCTCCTGGCTGCCAGCGAGCCTTCAAACATCAAACCTGAATGTATTTTCCTGGTAGCTGCGCTTCGGTTGGCTCAATAAGGTAAAGAACGACTAATGATTTGCTATTTAAGTTCATCTGCGGTTATTGCTTTATTGAATCGCGAATAATGATTCATATTACTTCGACTGAAGAGTCCGTTTTGGTGGACAAGTCTATGCTGACGGTAGCTCTGTTCTGCTGCTACTTTATCTCTTTAAAACCGGTTTGTAAAGAACGCTCGCGCTATAATCATTGATCAGATGTTAATGGTGAACGCGGACGATATTTCTACCGACCACTTCAAAGATCTGCTTAGCAGGTTTAGCACTTCGTTGCAGATGTTTATCGCCTTATGAGACATTTAAGGCTGCATCAGCAAATTGACTGATCCTATGAAGTTGAAACACTGCAACTGGAGCTCGATGATGGTTGTAAAGCGTTCAGTTCTGTATTGCGCGTTGATGGAAAAAGTTACTTTATGAAATAAATTTTTAAAAATCTCTTCAAAGCTTCGCGCGGTATTTCATATAACGCTGATCAAATCTGGCCTCAGGTGATGACATGGATAACACTAGTGTAAAATATGATACATTTTGATATTTTTAAATTCCCGTGTTGGTAGAAGTGGTGACGTGAACATATGTTGTCAACAATAGAGATGGGAATCTAGAATTGAACGATTCTGGTTCCGATGCCGATTTTTGTTAACGATTCAGGTTGTTTAACGGGTCCATTATTATTATATGAGGAAGAAATAACATTTAATGCTCTCAATTTGTAAATTATAACATTGTCAGATTCAACAGAACATAAATAACTGCAGTAGCCTACATTTTTTTCCATAAGGTGTGCATACATACACAGACTTTTTAATGACTTTTCACAGGCTTTTTAGAATCATTGACATTGGATTGTACTTGTCTTGCACTTCAAGTAGTAAAATAAATATGAGGTACCATATTTAATTACATTTTTATTTTTTGTTAAATAAAGTACCAAAGTGTAGGCCTATGTATCCAGCTACACGTTGTCATGTAAACAGCTATTCAGTATACAAAAAATTAGGTCTCACAAGTCTTAACCATAACACATTAGCATTTCGTGTTTCATTACATGAAATGAATAACTTGCAAGTCAGGTTATTTCAGTAACGCTACGATTGATTCATACATGTTTTGATGCATATAGCCGACTCCTAAGAATCGCTCCAAAGGTAGTCGGACTACCCTAGTCGCGTATGTTTTTGATTCACTAAAAAGAACCGACTCATAAGAGTCAATCGTTTGGGAATCAATAATGCTGTTCAGTGTAGCAGAGTATTTTAGTAATGTGTTCAATTAGAGTAATTCGATTTGTTGATTTTTTAAGGAACAGTTCTCGGTTCCCAACCCTAATAACAGTGCGCAAAGGGTTAATTTGCGGCGAGAGAGAGAGAGAGAGAGAGAGAGAGAGGCTGGCTGAGGGAGGCGCCTCTGGGCCACTGACGTCCGCTTCACTCGTAGTTTGATTTGTCAACAGAGAGCTGGGCGTCCTCGCCCGTCACACAAAACGGTACAGAGTACCGTACAGAGTAGAAGCGCTTGAGAGGGGATACATCACAGATATGTCGGATGACAAGGACCAAGTAGCATTTTTCGTGGTCGATTTGGACCTCTAGATTTATTTAACCGAACGTAGTGGTTTGCTTTACTTGCATCGTATTACTTTCACTACATAAAGTCCGCATTGGCGCGAGATCAAGGATCGCGAGGATGCGATGAGGAGGAAAAAGTCTTCGAGCTGGAATATTTCCGCTGGACGGATACGTTGATGTAGTTTAGTAAATGTGTCCAAAATGGGGAAAAAAAAAACGCCATGGAAGCGCGTGTATTTAGAGTAACTGCGGCTTGTAGTTTCTAATTAAATTAAAGGAGCTGTTTTCCCGCTACACCTGCCTTTTAATTACACTGCAGACTAGTGGATAGACTTGCTGATGCCAACAACGCCAGATTGCCTATATGGCAGGATCATGAAGTTTTTGACGTTTTTCCTTTTGCTTCCAGAAACCTTAAAAAGGACTAGAAAGAGTGGGAAACAGCTCAACAAGCTGCCAGTATGCTATGAAATCGTGACTTTGTCCTTGAGGAAGAAGATGGCTGCTGAACTCTATCCTGCCAGCATAAATACCAACCTTACCAACAGTAACAGCACAGCAGTCACAGCTGCCAGCAAAAAGACCATCGTCCAAGTCACTCAAACGGTGACAACGCCGACTACAACTGCCACTCAGCAGAACATCAACAATAATAACGTCGAGACTGCCCACTGGCAGTCCACTCACCCGACACTGCGAGAGAGGTGAGGCGCATTCGGCTTGCTCTTCGAGTCATATACGCTCTTATGGGTCCATAAACGAAATATTGTTGCATTTTGTTCTCTTCAGGAATGCTTTGATGTTCAATAACGAACTCATGGCAGATGTTCATTTTGTTGTGGGTCCGCCTGGCGCATCCCAGAAAGTTCCAGGGCACAAGGTGAGCGCATCCTCCCGCTTCAAAACGCATCTCAAGTGTCTCTTTCATCAGGCTCTGCTTAACCACTCTTGTGTGGCATTTATGCTTCCAGTATGTGCTGGCAGTGGGGAGTTCTGTTTTTGGTGCCATGTTTTACGGAGATCTAGCAGAAGGAGACTCTGAGATTCATATTCCTGACGTGGAGCCTGCTGCTTTTTTAATTCTTTTGAAGTAAGTTCTGCACTTAATTTTAATAACTATATGTCAATGATTTCTTAGTCCACATCTATTAATATTTTTACAAATATATAATGCAAACCACGTGTAGAATTACTTAAATACACCTGTTTTTAATTCCTTAATTAAAATTAATTTTCCAAATTCTTAGAAAAAAAATTGAACAACTGCTTATTAATATTTGGAAAACTTTTGGTGTCATTTGTTGAACCCAGAGTGGAGAAGAAAAAATGTTAAGTAGTCCCTCATGACTGTCAAGGTGAATAATTCTGTTAAAATATCACACAATTACACTTTTTTTTATGACAAGGTTAGTTCAGGTTGTTAATGAATGTCATGTGGTACAAACTCCTTTAAAATGTAATGATATTCATGAATTCATAATTTATGATGTTTTATTTTTTTACCTTGAAAAACAAGCAAAAAAGATTAATCATATTACATATTTATGAATTAATTTATGTATTCAAGGTGTAAGGAAAATTATATAATTTTTACATGGTTACACCACATGACATTTTTTTAGAATCATCACATTGAACATTTTCTTAAATGTTGCATTCATATGGTTTTGAAAAACATAACATTACGAAGAGTGGATCTCTAAGATGCATTTTAACTAGATTTTCCTCTTTTTGTATTATTATTATTATTTTTTTTATCATTTGTTGTTGACCCCTACATGTAACTCTAAACTCAATCACTGCAAAGACTAATGCTTCTATAAGTTCTTTAGGAAAGACATTGCTTATTTCTAACTTCTTTTTCTATTAACTTCCAGGTACATGTACAGTGATGAGATTGAACTTGATGCGGACACAGTGCTGGCCACTCTGTACGCTGCCAAAAAGTATATAGTGCCTGCACTGGCTAAAGCCTGTGTCACCTTTCTGGAGATGAGCCTGGAGGCCAAAAATGCCTGTGTGTTGTTGTCCCAGAGTCGACTGTTCGAAGAGCCTGAGCTGACCCAGCGGTGTTGGGAGGTCATTGATGCTCAGGCCGAGCTGGCGCTTCGCTCTGAGGGTTTCTGTGAGATTGATCTTCAAACAGTGGAGATCATACTAAAGCGAGAGACTCTAAACACCCGAGAGGCGGTGGTCTTCCAGGCGGCTCTCGATTGGGCTGTGGCTGAATGCAAAAGGCAGGGACTGGGACCAATCTCTCGTAATAAAAGGGCAGTGCTGGGCAAGGCTCTCTACTTGGTTCGCATCCCAACCATGACCCTGGAGGAGTTTGCCAATGGAGCCGCACAGTCAGATGTTTTAACGCTGGAAGAGACTCATGATGTCTTCCTGTGGTACACGGCAGCCAATAAGCCCAAGCTGGAATTCCCAATGCAGAAAAGAAAGGGTCTGACGCCACAGTGCTGCCATCGTTTCCAGTCCTCAGCTTACCGTAGTAACCAGTGGCGCTACCGCGGACGCTGCGATAGCATCCAGTTCGCGGTGGATAAGAGGATCTTCATTGCAGGGCTTGGCTTGTACGGTTCCAGCGGTGGAAAGGCAGAGTATAGTGTCAAGATTGAACTTAAGTGCCAAGGCGTGACCCTGGCTCAGAACCTAACAAAATTTGTTTCAGATGGATCCAGCAACACCTTCTCGGTATGGTTTGAACACCCGGTCCAAGTGGAGCAGGACACCTTCTACACAGTCAGTGCCGTATTGGACGGGAATGAACTTAGCTACTTTGGACAGGAGGGTATGACGGAAGTGCAATGTGGAAAGGTGACCTTCCAGTTCCAGTGTTCCTCAGACAGTACCAACGGAACTGGAGTACAGGGGGGTCAGATCCCAGAGCTGGTCTTCTATGCCTAAAATTGTCAGGACGTCCATATGGCAGTGCATTCCGCTCACTGGAATTAAGATGAATTGAATACAGGGTCTCTAGGAGGCTCTAGCCTTTATTATGTAGCAGCAGTGAACTTGATGGTAATGGCGCTTCAGAACCACAGTGGACTCAGATGGAAGGAATGTTCTTCAGCTTTATTTATTGCAAAAATTATATATTTGATTTAATTATTGACGCTGCAGCAAGCAGATCTCTATACAGTATATATAAAAATGAAGATAGTTGTACCGCTCTGATAGCAGACGGAAGCCACTAGTGTGTCATGTTTTGTACATAACTTATTTGTTTTCACCTTGATGCTGACTGACAAATAAAATGTCTTGTATTAGTGATCAGCTTCTTGACCTGCAGATTATAAACGTTTTTGTGACTCAAATCCAAAGTTGCTTTCACTCATTCATAGGCACTCATGAAATGCATCAAAGAATGATGCTATTCTACTCAATCCTGATTTTAGCAATGAGAGATTGAACTCAATCTATATTTTCGATGCCCAAAAAGTGTATGGTATATACACCTTCAAATAAAATAATTTGAATGAGGTAATATGAGCATATGGGATTTTTCTATGTAATGAAATGCATTATATTCAAACTGAATTCTAAAAAAAATGAACCCACACACCACAACAGCAGTGGGCTTGTGTAAATGAGACAGTGATTGTTAAGTGTGGATGAAATATTCATCTTGAAAGGCCACATAAAGAACCTATTATCCCCAGCGGGCTGCATGAGGAACTGAAAAGGGAGTCTGTTTGAATTGAGCCCATAGAATCTGCTGCTCCACCGTTTGCATTCTAATTGAGGGTTTAGTAAACATGGAGCAGATGCAGCTTGGTAAAACAGCAGATTTCTGACCAAAAAAACCCACACAAAAACATGAAAATGGAATTATGACACATGGAGAGCTGCTAATCAGACTGCATTCTTGAATTATGCCCAGTACTTTGACATTGAGATGTTCTCTGGTGTATATTTTAATCATTTTGTCTCTGCTTCTTCTAATCTGATGAGTCCGTTTAAAAAACTGCAGGCCTGTTCTGTCCTCACAGTGTGCGCAGAAGGTGGAAATAATTTCCAGATGGGTAAAACATTTTCAACCTGTGCCTGAAATAGCTTGAATTACAGACTACTGCAGAAATTGTAGTAGATGAGAGTACAACATCAGCAAATCTCCCTTTTGATGCAACCTGGAATCCATAGGCCAAATCAGATGAACAGATTGAGTATACTTGTATTGATCCAGCCGCAGTGTATTATTGCTAACCAATTTAGCAAATGAATTGTTTTGAGAGATGCTGCCTGCTTTATTAATGAGGTTCATTCAAATGCACTGTTCCGGTCAGCTGAATTACATTAGATGTCTTAGAGAGGTCATTACAGGGAGACTTACCGACGGCCGGAGCGTTGATACAGAGCTCTCTAGCCAACAGGAGGAAGGTCTTTCCCAGAATGTAAACATTAACCTACAACAATAAGAAACAGAACTGAAAGGTCTGAATTATTTAATAGGTTCAACTTTGCTTGTTAACGTTTGAGTCGGTTTGTGGCTTCTTATGCTTAAAGGCATAAACAATAATACAGTAAAAACAATATCTTGCCCCAAAATATTTGAATGGTAGTGGTGTATATACACACACACACACACATTGACACACACTACCGTTCAAATATTTTGGGGCAAGATATTATTGTTTTTTTTTTTTAGTATATAAATATATACATTTAGTGTGTGCGTATATACATATATTTATACATATACATATATATTTATATATATATATTTATAGTTACATATAAATATATATAACACAAATACATATATATACATACAGTGGTGGCCAAAATTATTAGAACACTAGGAAATATCAGTTTACATTCCAAACATTCATTTTGCCATTAATTGTAATAATCCAGTGAGATTTTTGTTTGCACAAGGAGTCTGACAACAGCCAGTGCTCCACACAGAGATCTGATCACATCATCATCCAGTCTGTCTGGAATGACATGAAGAAACAGAACAAACTGAGACAGACTACATCCAGAAGAACTGTGCCAACATCTCCAAGATGCTTCAAGAGACCTACCTGCAAAGCTACAGTACTGTTAAAAGTTTTAGGCACTTGTGTAAAAATACTGTAAAATGAGGATTCTGTCAAAAACAATATAAATAGATTTTCTTTATCAATTAACGTCTATTAAATAAATTAAATCAACATTTGGTGTGACCATCCTTTTGCATTTAAAGCAGCTTTAGCCCTAGGTGCACTTGCGCATAGTTTTTCAGGTAGCTTTACCTTAAATATACCTTATATGGACCTGTAAATATGTGAACTTCAGACACTCCCTAATAATGATGAGGGGTTATGACCTGAGCACCAGGTCCCTAGTTAGCCTGGCATCCAGGCAGGATAAATTGGGATCTTGTCGGATTTGGGTGTGGCTACACTTGCTAAAGATTCATGACATATTTGAGCCTCCCCCAACCGTCCAGTGTCTGTTCTATAGCAGATACAGCTCAGTGGACAGCTGGGGAGTAAAAATAACATTACACCGGTGTTTAAACACAGAAGTGTCTAACCCTCAAATAACTACTAAAAAACTGTAGAGTATATATTGTCATAAAGACAGTACCGTGTATTGTTTCACAAACAAAATGTAGCCTCATATCCTATACTTGCTGTTTAATACAGCAATATGGCATTAAAAGTTGTGTGTTGCAAAGGTTTTATGTTCTTATTGCAAAATCTTGAATGTCTTAGTGGTTTATTAAATAATCATAATTAATTCATCTTATATGCAGTCATGTGTGTGAGTATAATAGCTTTGCACATTAAGATTTCAGAGTTACAACATTTTATATATGGCATCTACCTGCGTTTATATCTGTGCAAATCATTGAAATGTGAACAAGTTTGGCCAATTAAATGAAGAGAAACTATGCTAATATATCTGATGAACTGAAGCTGGATATATAACAGAATTTCTGTTGTCGAAAAACACTGGCATCTGCTTACCTGTTATGTCATATGCAATGCCTCATACAGTATTACAGTACTTTCAATGGTCATATGGAGGGTATAAAAGATTATTTCGAGGTTGAACATCATGCAACCTAGCACAGCCTCTTAGGTTGCGTCATATTATTCAGAGTAAGTATTGTGGAAAATATATGAAAGAAATTGAAATGAAAGAAAGCCAACCTGTAAAAGATCACTGAGGTCCAGGAGCATGTCTGCATATCAGTTAAGGGAATACAAAATGAGATTATATCATAGAAAAGGGTTGAAAGTGGGATAAAGATCTAAACATCTTTGTCCAACTACACAGCTAAAAATAAGAAGTCAATCCTGCTCCTAAATGAATCCTGGTCACAGTGATTAATTAAGCATCGGACAGCTCAGTAATTGTCACTGGGGGAGTTTTGACTTTACTCATCATCTCTACATCAACGGATCTCTGCAAGAGATTCACCCTGACCATCTGTTACTGCTCACCTGAGCGGCACACACACACCTGAGGCATGTGTCTCTATGGTAACTAATGCTCCCTTTAGCAAAGAGATTAGCATCACTACAAGACAAGCTAATCCCACTTTATCAGGAGTCTGACAGCCTTAATTATGGCCTGCTGTGAAAGAGTATCTATACTTCTATGACTGACATATTGTGATATTGATAACCGTTTTATCTCTTAAATGCTACAAGACCAGATATGAACCATTGACAAAAACTGCAGATGTACTGCAGGGGGTCAAAATTATATAGATAACAGCATCATTCTAAAAACAGTGAAACAAGCAAAAAAAAAAAAAATCATTATGTTATTTATGTTTAGGACATTTCTTTTAAGTGTTTAGTATTCTGAAAATTATAATTATGTTAAAAGAAATTAATGTATTATTTTTTCCTGAAACACCAAGTGGATACCAACATCTATCTTCATGGTTCTAGGTATCTTGCAATTATTAACAAACCAGTTTATTAATGCTCATATGACAATGGTTCTCAACCTTTTTGACTCCAAGGCAATGCCCCCATGGTCCACAACAATATTTGAGGGTCCCATGATTTTTCCAGTCATTTGCGATTTACTTAATAAGGAATTTTATAACACTAAAATAAAACTCATGAGATAAAACCCTTGGAAAATCCCGGTTTTCCAAGACCAACAATTTCTGACTGGGTAAAGCAAAGCAAAGTAAAATAAAAAAATAAAAAATAAATTAAACAATAAATAAAATAAAATAGAAAGAAAGAAAGAAAAAGAAAGAAAGAAAGCTTTTTTTAATGAAAGGATTAGATTTCTCTATGGATTTATCACAAATATGCATATGGTTACTACTATGTTTGCAAGATGCATGCATTTGAAGGGATCCTTGTATTTAGAACTGGATATTTATGTAAGAAATGTTCCAGTAAGCAACAAACCAAGAATCTGATGATGAGCCTCTGAAATCATGAAGCTCTGGCAGACCTGTAAGAATTGGCAGATCAGGTCGTTGAAGCTCACTGAATCAATGTTTCCAGAAAAAGACAATCGTCACCTAAAGAACCTGGTTTAAACACATGTGAGGTTGCTAAAAGCACTCGAAAATGTTAAAACACTGCTAAATGGTAAGAATGAACAAAAGAGATATATGCTGAGATATTTTAATGAATCCTAAGTTAAAAATAAATACTTTAGGTGAGAATTACCTTATTTTAAAATACATAAATACTTGATAAAAATAACTATTTTAAGTGAAATCTAAAAATAATACAGTTGTCCAAATAATTCTGTATATCATATCACAATGATGCATGAGATAAATGCATGAATGTCTGATGAGGCAAAGCAGAACAGTACACATTTAAAAATAGGACAATATTTGGAATGGGTTTGGCAGTCTGTAAAGTACTGGACGACTTATTTTTGTGTTTCTGCTCTTTAGCATGAAGTACCATATCTTAGCACGCAACTGAAAGAGCCCCACCCAGAGACAGGTAACAATTCTACTTTGGCAACTCTAAACGGCAAACAAGTACCCAGTCAGGCCTGACGCTTCACAAAAGCAGAATGGAGATCTGGGTGTGACCCAAGCAGACACATTGGATGGTGCTAATCAATGTGAGTAAGTAAGAGTCTGTCTTTTTATGAGACAGAGAGTGAAAGCAGTGGTGTAACACTATCCAGACGTGCTGTGTTGTAACACAGGTGTGGCGAGTCTCAAACGCACATGTGACGAGAGAACTACGAACGTTGTTACAGCACATAATCAGGGAACAGAATTATGACAGGTTGGGGGAAAAACAAAAATGTTGAAGAGGGGAATGATATTTCCCTCAACTATCACTTCAGAATTGCACTTCAGTCTCTATGACTTAGGTCAAATAAGTGTCACTTCAATAGCTTTTGTACACAACCAGGACAGAGATTGAAAATCTGGGCTGTTTTCCATGATTTACTCCAGGGAACATCTGATTCTGAATCAGAGATTCTGAAAGGTGCAGTAAACACTCTTCCTCTTCCTCTCTTGCAGCACTATTGTTTTCACATCCTGACACGTCCCTTCAGACCCTAAATCAGGTTTTCCCTAGGGAAAGTATGAACTTATAAAAGAGACAACCATAGACCAGCACCAACTTCTATGCTGGTCCAGACTGGTTTATGCTGGTTTGGTTCTGGTTCTGATGAAGAAATCTTGCTAAAAATTCAGCTAGTTGCTTATAACAGCAACCAAAACATTTTATTACACACATAACTATATATAAAGTTATATATAAAGTTCACATTTTATATATAGATATGTCGAATCCATGACTACAGGGCTGAGCTACAGGATTTTTGCTATTAAAAGCCTGAGATTTACTCTTTTTTTGCTGTAACCTAATTTGGATAATGTGCCTAACCTAATTTCGATTGTGCACAATTTTCTCCATGAATTACCATTCACAAAGGGTTTAACTTGGGTTTCACTCCCTAGAGATCATTGTGAGAAGGATACGTGGCGTTCCCTCTGTCCTGCAGACCAGGTAGAGGCAGGCGGCTATGACGTGCGTCATCTTTCGCCCTCGTGTCAAGTGCTTGCTCACCACCATCTTGAAGAAATTAAAGGCCGTGTCTAGGCAGTGCTGGTTCAGCTGCAGCTGGCTGCCGAGGTTGTGTATCTGTCGTTTCCCTAGAGACAGGACACACATATGCATCAGATTGAGCAAACATACACAGATCCACACACGCACACTTGCGCACCAAGGCATGACTTCACACGCAGGTGTTTGGTTTTCCAGTAGCACTGATGTCATGAGAACAGTGCACAGCCAGACAGGCTTTTAATGGAGCCTGGAAGTGAAAACGGGCAGAGAGACAGCTGTTTTACGTCCCATATGAGGTCATGTCCCTCTTTTCCCTTCTTTCACAGTCGCTCATACATTTACTCCTTAACAGACGATCTCAAAACAGGCCAAGTTGTAATTCATTGGACATACAGAATAAATCAGTCTACCCTGAAATCCCACGTTGGGCTAAGATGTGTTTAACATATTCAAATCCACATTAAAAAAAACACACAGTCCAGTGGGCTATCTGGCAGATTTCTGTTTACTTAACACATAATTTAGCAAAAGACCTTGTTCACCCAGACAGTGAAAGTTTCCCAGATTGTAAACAATGAGAATGATTTAGGCTGCTTCACCATGTCATAACATGCAAAGCTTTTTTCTGGGCAGAAAGGCTACAGATGTGATGGAGTTGATGAGTTTGACATGTTCCAGTCATTCATTATGCTTGAAATTCCACATGTAGACGTGTTTATAAGAAGCAAATGCTTTCAACAATCTGTCCTCTAAATGTGCAAATATGTGATAATGAGTTCAGCAGATGCATAGACGCATCTAACTTTTTATTTAGCCTCGGGATGATCCCCATTGGGTGGAGAGGGGGTCCTTAGAATTTTTTTTGGGGGAAAAAAAAGAGAATTTTTAATTATTTTTCCCTTATTCTGCTTTTACAGATACTGGTTGGAAATCATACAATTAATAATGATTATTGTTTTATACTGACCGTTTAGAAATGAACACAAATGTGCATATAGTTTTATATAGTTTTCCTTTCAGGTTTACATGTAACTATACTTTAACAGTGGGTACAAGATACAACGTCAACTTAATGTACAACTTTAATATTTTCACATAATATTTTAATAATTAGTTTATATTTTAATATGTAATCATGTAAATAAAAAATATATATTCAGTATATTTTAACATGTTTACATATTTTATACTATTATTATTTCTTACAGTTTACCCAGTATACATAAAAATAGATGGATGGCGGAAAGGTGGGCCCTTGCATCATATTTGGGGGACTCATTGGCAACAATAATTATAAAAACTTTTGCTTTGCTTTGCTTATTGCCAACAGTATAGACAGAGCCACAGATGTTAATGTGGATGTTTGACTTTTTGTTCCCCAACTGTGGAGACCAGAAGCTGCAGTGTCAAGTGTCATGTTGGCAGGCCAAGTCCAAAAATAAATCTAAAAGCTCTTAAGAGCGTAATCCTTCTATTCTGGAAGCACTGTGTGCCAACTCTCCGATACACGCTCCAGACCGTCTAATCCCAGAGTATTTTTCACACTGCACATGCCATTGTATTATCAGTCAGGTCTGCGGTGACCTCTCTGAATGACAGCAGAATTACATAACGGCATGCAACATTGCAGGGACACGGGACACCTTTATTTAATGAATGAACACAGGGACACTTTCATAAATCAGAACCTTTTATATAAACTAAAACTACCTGGCAGACATATCATATTCACTATTATAAGAATTTGTTTTATAAGAAGAATTTGTTTGCTTCCCGGGCCACACTGGACTCCCACACAGATGTTAATACCTACAACAGCTCTGTTCTGCATCATATCAACAGATGTGTTGACAAGGTAACCACCCATAAAGTAATTAAAATGTACCCCAATCAGAAACCCTGGATGAACAATGAAGTCCGGCTCCTGCTGAAGGCATGTGACGCTGCTTTCAAATCTGGCGACCGTGAAGCCTATACAGCTTATTCAGGTCCAATCTGAAGAAGGGAATTCAATCTGCTAAATACAACTACAAACTGCACATTAACAACAGATTTAAAAACAACGACCCTTGGCGCATGTGGACAGGCATCCATGCCCTCACAGACTATAAACCAGCAAACAGCACACCCCCAACCAGCAATGCCACCCTCCCTGACGAACTGAACAACCTTTATTCTCGCTTTGATCGTGGAAACACAGAACCACCCATCAAAGCTGTGCTCACACCGGACGACCAGCCGCTCACACTTTCCACCAGTGACGTGTGCTCCACCTTGCGTAAGGTGAATGCACATAAAGCTGCCAGCCCTGACGGCATCCCTGGCTGAGTGCTTAGGGCCTGTGCAGAACAGCTGACTGAGGTCTTCACCAACATTTTCAACCTCTCTTTGGCCCAAGCCATTTTTCCCAACTGCTTCAAAACAACCACCATTGTACCTGTACCAAAACATGCTGGTGCAGTGGCCCTCAATGACTTCCGCCCAGTTGCTCTTACTCCCATTATTGCAAAGTGTTTTGAGAGGCTGGTCCTCTCCCACCTGAAAACATGCTTGCCCCCAACACTGGACCTATACCAGTTCGCCTACAAATCCAACAGCTCAAGTGAGGATGCAATCGCCTCAGCTCTTCACTCTGCCTTGACGCACCTGGACAGAACCAACACATATGGCAGGATGCTATTCATTGATTTCAGTTCCGCCTTCAATACTGTGATCCCATCCAAGCTGATCTCCAAGCTCTGTGATCTTGGCATCAGCCCCTCCCTCTGTAACTGGACCCTGGACTTTCTCACCAACAGACCACAGTCTGTTAGGATCAGTAACCACACCTCCTCCGTCCTCACTTTAAACACTGGGGTACCACAGGGCTGTGTGCTGAGCCCAATCCTCTACTCCCTTTTCACCCACGACTGCATACCTGTGCATGGCTCTAACTCCATAATCAAGTTTGCAGATGACACCACGGTGGTAGGCCTGATCAGCGGCAATGATGAGACGGCCTACAGGGACGAGGTTCAGCATCTAGCAATGTGGTGTGCCAACAATAACCTTGCACTCAGCACCCAGAAGACCAAAGAGCTGATTGTAGACCACCGGCGGACTAAGAAGGACCATACACACACTCCCATCTACATTGATGGGGCTGAAGTGAAGTTCCTTGGTGTCCATCTCTCTGAGGATCTTTCCTGGACCCTCAATACCTCCATACTGATCAAAAAGGCACACCGCCACACAGCGGGTGGTGAAAACTGCCCATTACACCACTGGTGTCGGGCTACCCTCCATCAAATACGTTTACCACAAACGCTGCCTAAGGAGAGTGAGAAGTATCATCAAAGACTCCTCTCACCCCAATCACAGACTGTTCACTCCTCTTCCATTGGGGAGACGTTATAGGAGTTTTCGCTGTCGCACCAGCAGACTCCGGAACAGTTTCTTTCCCTCAGCTGTCAGCCTACTGAACTCCAATCTCAGGTGCTGAACACTACATCCTAGATGGACCACCTAATGCTTAACAAAAAACTGCACTGTAAATAACCTGTCTGCACTCCTCACTCACAATGTTCTTATTATTCCCTCTGTTATTTTGCACATTTCTCTGATATTTTGCACATTCCCTTGCACATTTATACCTCCGGATGCCATTTGCACTGTTATGGTCATTGGCCATATATAAACATATGCTATTTACATACCTCACTGTATAATGCACCTTCTGTTTATACTCACTGTATAATGCACCTTGTGTTTACACTTTGCACCCTATGTTGTATGTACAGTAATTTGCATTGAGCTGGTCTCTGCCCTTCTACTTCACAACTTGCACTATATGTCATAAAGCTTAATGTATATATATTCTATATTTATTTATATACTTTGTTATTTGCACTTCTGGTTAGATGCTAACTGCATTTCATTGGCTCTGTACTTGTACTCTGCACAGTGACAATAAAGTTGAATCTAATCTAATCTAATTATGTGTCACTCATTTAAAAAGTTTTTGATCTGTTATGAGAACTTTCTGTGAGAAACTGAGTCTGAATTATGTGTTTATACAGTTGGTGACCTTGATTCTGGAAGTATTTTGCTCTCAGTTAAAGCTCTGAAAACGCACCAAGACAGCCAGCTGTAATTGAGCAATGTATAAATATAATGCAACAAAACTCATTGCTCTCACAGCCCCTCTGATTCACACACACACACGTACATATTTACACAACGCCCTGCCTTATATTTGCTAAATCAAAACACACCTGGAACCCAAAGACATTTATTAGAGAGCTCTATGAAAAGGATCAAAAGTTAATCGCATCTTGTGTGTTTTTCAGAAAAGCGCAGATGCAAATGATGTAAATTTAATTAGCACTTGAGATGTAACTGGGTCAGAAATTAATGCAGATGACTTACTGAAACGTAATATTAAAGGAATATACGTGATGCATCTAATGGCATCATATTTTATTTGAATTTAAATTACAGTCTATCATATGGCTTTGTTCCAGAAGATAAAGAATATAATGCAAGAGCCATATGAGCTATTTTATTTAACACTTATGGTACTTTTTTTATTTTTGGTGACTGATCATCCACTGACTGCATCTACACACCACTGCTGACTAATATAAAGGTGTACCTACCGTTCTGGAGCGTCTGAGCTCGCGATTCTTTTCCCAGACTTGTGTGGAACCCACTGCCCAAAACCGGAGCTTTGGAAGTACCTGAAAACAACACAAAAAATACAATTCATTATTGTTAAAGATAAAGGCCAAGCTGAAATCAGACAATTACAATAAATAGGAATAGTTTTGGTTTATAATATATAACCAGGTGCACAAATAAAATCCTATTATTTAACAGTGACATTTAAGGCATTGAATAAAGCTCTAGCGCATTCCAGTGGTTGTCTGTGTAAGAGCAGCATTATCATTGTATCGGTACTACAGTGACACCTACCGGGTGCCGATGTCTCTACACAAGTAGCAACCTAAAGAGATTGACTGACACACCTGAGACTGATAACCAAGTCAGAGGAGTTGATGAACACCAAATGAACACCATTTGGATTGCCTTTCAGTAGCATATTGTTCAATTATATATATATTTCTAGCTAGTTTTTTTTTTTTTTTTTTTTTTTTCAAATCATGTGTTGGCTGCTGCTTTGGGTAGGTTTCTGTGACCAATTTACAACACATCTGAACATACAAAGCTGTAATACAGCATATTGAATCCCAAAACTGACATGCAGAACTGATATACCACAGGCTTCTCTTCTTGTGCTTTCAAATCTGCGAGGTGAATGGAAGTTCTGTTACCACTGCTCCACAAGGTCTGTTTCTAGTGACGAACAACAAAATTTCAGCATATAATGGTACATTTTGTTAAATCCAAAGCTGTAATGAATTGTATTTCTCTCAGTGACATTGAGACCGAGTGTCACGATCGATATTTCTGGGTGTCTGTTGATGTGGGCTTTGCAGGCCATGTCCTGAGATTTGAGGCTGTAGGTATGGTGCTATGGCTTGACAATAATCTGTACCACAAATAATCACATATTATATTTAAATTACTAAAACTGAAATAAAGCTTAACATAGTTACCAAAAAAAAAAAGCATGTAAGAAAATTACTAAAACTTAAAATAGAATGAAACCGAAAATATATTGAAATATAATTCAAACTATTAATAAATACTAAAATTGTATATAAATAATACTAACGCTGGTCAACAATATCTGGTTTTCTCTAAACTCTCTATTTCCTCTTATATGCCCAGAGATCTGCCATCTCTGAGTGGCAGATAATGTTCCTGAATCAGGACCGTTTGGATGTGATGTCTATCTCTGAAGCCAGGCGAATGGGATACATGGTGGATTCCACTCCAAACAGGGTGGTCTTTCGCTCTGCCTACAATCAGCCACATTCAACAATCACAGAGGCATGTAGGGATGTAACGATTCACTCAACTCACGATTCGATTCGATTCACTTCACGGTTTTGATTTCACGATTTGATTCACAATTCACGATTTTTTTACAAAATGAGATTTAAGACAAATTATAAATTAAATGTGTCCTTTTATTATTGCTTGGACAAAATGCTGACCGTTTTTATTCTAAATTACATTGTAAAATTTCGAAATTTGAAGCAAAAACAGAATGGTTTGACTTCAGTTTTGTGAAACTATACATAAAAATATCTGCATGAAACAGAAGCAGCAGACGAGCTGAATGAGACGCAGATTCACTCTCTGCCAGCAGGTGGCGCTTAAAGCATTTCCTTGGTTTCTACTGTAAACAAAGCAGCGGTTGCACTTATGAACAGCAATGATACAGTGTTTCCTTGACTGATACTATTGAAATACTTCATTTTGTGACGTCAGAGGGGCCTAACTACAACATTGCTGTAGGCATTTAGTTTAATGAACCCGGTGCGCTATCCTAAAATTATAACACGTAGGGGGCGCTACACACGTATCTATTTTAAACTGTATATCTATTTACTGATTGATATGTAATCTGCATCCTTGTGTAGTTGGGTGACGGTTACATTGTGTATGAAAACGAGGTCATTTCTGATGAAGGTGCCATAACCAGATTCCTGACCAGGAATCAGCCATTAAAGGGAATCAAAATTTAGGTATTTGTCAATATATGAAACTCGTAAGTATGTGAACATTGAATTAAACATGATTGAATCTTTGAAAACAAACAAAAATTTGATCAGCTCTTTTTTTCCTCTGAATATTTCAGGCTCACTGTGAGATGCTTCTATCCACTTGACTCTGTTAAGAAGGTTTTTTACATCCAGACTGTTTAAAGGACCTGGCTTTGGTAGAGTCAAATTTACAGACACTACAGGTGTAATAGGTTACTAACACTTTCTATTACAGGACAATTCATCAAAAGAATTGCTATAATTAATTTTTTCTCTTTGTATCTCTGCATAACCTACAAGGACTACAAGGAAACCTTATCAGCTCTCAGGCAGCCTCTGACACAGTTTGTGCAACTTCCCTCATCAAATCAGGGCAGGAAGACATCAGAAGACAGTTACCACGCCAGCAATATTCCCTATCCACACAGAGACGTACCCAACTCTTCAAGGAATCTGGTGTGAAATTTACACCCCAAACGATTATCAAACACAGCTCTGGTCCATCTATGACACATGCAGGGCAGCAAAACCCTTTTGATGGCTTGTTTGAAGACTACAGATCTTTCCTTGTTGACCTCCCACAGAAAACGTCTATGAAAAGGAGTGGCCAAAATCATCATAATTCTAGGATGAGTGGTGACGATAGTTCAGCTTCAGCTTTCCACAGGGGATCAAAAAATGCATCACACGTCATAATTAAAACCTTGCCTTACATTTTACAGTCTGTCACTGCCATCAGCAATCCAACAAACTACAATCCAAATAGCAATGAAGTGAGTGACCAGCTTTTCCTGAGAGAATACATGGACAGTTACACTCCTGACAGTGGTTTTCAACACTCCCCAGATCATTTTAATGAACTGATTAACACTCCGTCTACAAAAGATCCTTTACTCTATACTAACAAAGACAATATTATTTCTAACAAACTTGAAGCAGGCAAAACTGAACAGGGCCAAAAACATTTGGAAAGTTACATACTTCCCACATTCAACATGAAATATAAGAACAAACTTGACACTGAAAGCAGTGCTCAGCCATTTAAAGAGTACGGATTGGAAAAAGTAGGCCTTTTAACTGTAGCAGATGAGCACAACAATTTCATGCATGAAGATGACGACCATATAATCCAAAGAAATTAGCGTTTTTGCATACACACCAGCAAAAAGAAGTCGAAGATAGGCATTTTCTTTCTGATCATAAGCTTTTAGCAATAAAACCATCATATGACAAATTGAGAGGGACCCTGTTCTTCCCTGGTAGCAGAAGCCGTTATGGTTCCAGCATTCATAAAGGAATAATAAGAGGTAATTTTCCATTGCTAAATTATGTACAATGCATTTAAGTAACATACATGATATAACTGTAAATTTAAGCAATTTATTTTTTATATTTTCAAATGTTCAAGTTAACATATTCTAATACTGAAACCACACACTCTTTTCTAGGATGACCATGGAGGCTGTAAAAAAAATAGGATTTCACTGTTAAATCGTGAATTCAAATTATGAACTCTGTCATGTTGAGGAAAGTGCAATGAGATTTGGCAAATAACATGACAGTCCCAGGCAGAAAAATCAAGCCCATTCAAACTGAGGGTGTAATGTAAGGCAAACTACTTTTGCAAATAAAATGCATTGTTGATCACTAACTGTCAAGTTAAGTTGCAAAACTGTATGTTAAAGGGGTCATATTATGCTTTTTTAAAGATCATTATTTTGTGTATTTGGTGTAACAGCTCAGAAAACCTTATATCTGAAGTTTAAACTCATATGGTTTAAAATGCATGATTTCAGCGTGATAAACATGATAATCAGAACCAAAACAGATGTTTTTAGCAGGTACAGCTGTAATAGCGCAGCTCTATTCTGGAAAAGGAGGCGGGGAGCAGCAGCTCATTTGCATTTAAAGAGACAGGCCCGAAAAACAGCGTGTTTCTGCTTCCACTCAAAATAGGCATTTTCAAAATGATATAATAAATGATCTGTGGGGTATTTTGAGCTGAACTTCACAGACACATTCTGGGGACACCAGAGACTTATATTACATATTGTAAAAAGGGGCATAAAATGTCACCTTTAAGATCTGATTAAGTCCAAATGCATGCTAAACCAAAATGCTATCTCATCTCACACTTATATGAAGAACTACAAATAAATATTTATCCAAATAATTTACTACCCTGGAACGTGCTAACATGGAAACCATTACATGAAAAAAGTTTAACGATATTTTATAATATATTATAAACGTTATTTTCTCCAGTTGCTCTTTTTGTGGTAATTCTGATTTTGGATGGATAATGTCCATTAAAGAAAAAATATTTCAGAAATTATTAGGAGTGAAATTTATAATGAGTGTGCATTGTATTAGAAGGATGTGGTACTGGCCTCTGCTGATTATGATTAATCTGAAAAAAAACATTTTTACGTAATAAATCTGATTTTGTTGCTTGCCAAATTCCACATTCACAGATCCAAAGATTTCAATTCTAGACTGCTCTTGTTTTGTTTTATGAAAGAAATTGAGAAATACCTTACATCAGTTAAATTGCCTAGAACCAAAAAAGTTTTAAAAACATTACCACTGCCACTGGTGCCCCTCAAAACATGAATGATACTGGACCCAACTGTGTTTAGGTTCAAGTGAACAGCTCTTACCATCAGCTGACACGAACTGGCCGACAGCTGAAGACACCCCTCCACTGTTTTCCACAAACTGAATCTCAGATACGATGATATTATCCTCCAGAACCGAGCCACAGGCTGTGCAGACCGCACTCCCCCGGGCTGGGTCTGTGTCGATGTCTGCTCCACCACAGCTCTTACACTGACGACTCATACTGGCAGCAAGAGCCAGACCTGAGGAAGATAACATGAACACCATTACTGAACAAGAAACATCTGACTAAACACACAATATCCATTAGGCAACGTCAGTTTACTGTTATTGGGATATTACAACAAAATACGTAATAATATTCTATAAAAACTTGTAGTAGGTGAATGTTGTAGTAAACTATACAGCAGGTCCACAGCGGGATTTGAACCCGGGTCACCGGATCACAAACAACCCTGACATGCCGCTTCGCTACGTTACAACACGGATAGCACTCTTCTACACAATAACCAGTTGAGCCTCCTTCATTGTCGTTCATGAATCATATTTTCCCCCCTATTCGGATTAACGTTACCTTTATATTAGAATGACCTCTAATGTATAATTCTAGTGTGTCTATAAACCTTGCTAAGCTAATGTTTTGATATGTGCACATATGCTACCAAATGAAAAGCTAGCTTGCATAAGACGTGATACAAATGTAACCATAATACAAACAGCGCGTTTTCACCGTTTTATTCTTTATTTCATATAATAAAGACTCGCATAAATATAAAGCATCTAAGACATAAACGTTCACCACTCACCTGCCAAAGGAAGTAACGTTAACGTTAAAGACTTGACTTATGATCAAACACTTTAAAGCAGTATCCAGTATCCTCCACTCCTATTTATGATTAGGTTTTATAAACGAATTAAACTGCAATCATTGAGCAACATGTTTAAAAGGACTAAATTCATTTTTTATGGTAAAATTTATCATTTGATTCATAACACCATTACTGTTGTGACTTTCAACCCAAGTCTGCGATACAACATTGAAGGCTGTTCTAAAAACTGAATATAGAGGGGAGGCCTCTATGACGCAATTCTTCTTTTAGTTATTTTGCTTATTTAATTTAACTAATATGTTTCATTTAGGGGAAAACACAGGTTTTGAGAATATTAATGATAAATTTATCTTTATTATAATCCTAGTTATTCTACTTAGTTAAGCACTTACATTCAAGACACCCCCATTTTGATAATGCACTGGGCCGGTGGCGGATCCCGGTCTTAAAGCGCGATAATACGAAGGAGTGTGTGTGCTGTTGTTTAGCCGATACGCTAATATCGCACTCTTTCTCTTTGATAAAATAAAGTATTGTTCGTTATATTTGTAGTCGCTTGTCTGTCCTTGAAATATAAACACCGCTAGGTTAAAAATAATAAAATCGGTAACGATTGAATTCAAGACTTTGATTTTGACAGAGTTTAAGACATGCTGACCGGGAAGTAAATGTTGTGCAATTCAAAACGTGTGCAGATAACGTTAGTTTTAGTGAGTTAAAATAATAATTGAACGTTATTTTATTAACCTTACACTGTTTAAATGGAGATTCACGAGAGCTGATGGAGTGGGAACAGCTTGATCTGAATCCAAGGATTATTGCTGCTGTTAAAAAGGGTTAGCGAGAAAATCCACCTTGAGTACGTTACGCTTAGACTTAAATTGAATTCGCTCCTTGTTTCATGTTATTTTATTGTTCAGCCAATTTTAGATCAGCCAAGGAGATCCTCTGTGTCTGTGGTCCGGATTTGCAGAGACTGACGCGCTTGTCGAAGACTGATGTTCAGAGGGTGCATTGCTCTGTAGCGGCTGTTGTCCGCAAGTCCAAGCCGGTCACAGGTGGGCTTCGTTGTACTACTATAGTACTACTTTTCATTTGAAATAAATGCAATAATCTTGTGAGAATCAGCCATTTTTGAAGCCAAACTGTTGTTTTAATATATTCTCAGCTTTACAGCTGATCCGGGGAGAATGTCCTGTTTTGGAGGCCGGACACAGGCTCTCGTTTGCCTGCCCCGTTCTGGACGGTCTGATGCGCGGTGGTCTCCCGATACGAGGAATAACGGAGCTGGCAGGCGAGAGTGCTGCTGGGAAAACTCAGTTCTGTTTGCAGCTTTGCCTGTCTGTCCAGTATCCGCAGGAAAACGGAGGGCTTAATTCTGGTAAGGGGACATGAAACCCCCTTTGTATTTGTTTGTTTTGTTACAGGAATAGAAACGAACTGGTGAAAAAAACGCATTTCTCCTGACTGGAAATTGAAACATATAACAATTATAAAGCAGTGGCTCTCAACTTGACTCCAAGTTGTTTATGATTTGCTGGATAAGGATTTTTAGCCAGTTTCTATCCGATAAAATACAAATTGTAGGCTATTAATTTTAATGATGTCTAGAAAGCACACACACACAAATTCTAGATCTAAAATTCACACTTAGAATGCCCTGAATTATCCAGGTTTTCCAAGTTAATCAGAATCAGAATGAGCTTTATTGCCAGGTATGTTTTCACATACGAGGAATTTGTTTTCATGACAGAAGCTTCCACAGTGTAACAGAATGACAGCGACAGAACAAAAACACAGATAATAAAAGAAGAATATAAAGGAAAAATAATTGGAATCCTGGTTCTTTAATTAAAAAATAATTATTGAGGGAGGTCAGTAAAATAATGATTTCCTTTTTTTTTTTTTAGGTTATTTTAATGCTTGTTTTATTTTAAATCATTTTAAGTCATCTTGAGGCCCCCTTGGAAGTAGGGCTGGGAATCGAAAATCGATTCTAATTCCAGAATCGGATACTTAAGGTCAGGAATCAGACACTTGTTGTAAAATTAAAATTTCAATTGCACCTATCGATTCCTGTGTGCACCTTTTTTTTTAGGTGGCAAAAAGTGGTTGTTAAAAATGCATTTGTCTTTGAATCATTCATTCAAGAGATTCATTCAAAAACACTGATTCATCCAGTAATGAAACAAGTAAATCTTTAGTGAGTCATTGAATCATTCCATTCATAAATTCCATGAGATTTTGTTTAGTTGTCTAATATTTTTTCTTTAAATTGTGAGAGAACCACAAACTCCATTTAAAAAAAAAAAAGTCTCAATTTATCCAGAATCATACAGCTCTATTTTGCAAACTGCTCTTAATCGAGTCCAGTTTTTATGTAGCCTGCTGATTTTTGTTCATGGTATTCAGCAGCAATTCAATGTTTTGTAGAAAGAGACACAGAATAAATATGTTTGATATCTAAATGTTTGACTTCATTTCTTTTTAACCACTTCGGAATCAAAACTGTGAATCGGAATCGATAAGCAGAATCGGAATTGGAATTGATCAAATTCAATAAATACCCAACTCTACTTGGAAGTTTTCTGAGGTCCCCCAATGGGCCTTGGCCCCCTGGTTGAGGACCACTGCTATAGATTGCTGACATTTCAACTATCAGAAACGCATCGAGTATAGTTTGAGATCTCTTTTGAAATTGGCAATGAGAGATTACTGGGGTAGAAAGAGAGTTCAGAAGAAAGTAATCATTTTAATAAATGTCTGCTTAACTGCTGTATTAACTCACATTTTTTTATGGTCATTTAACAGGAGCTGTTTATATTTGCACTGAGGATTCTTTCCCTATCAAACGACTACGGCAACTCATTACCCAGCAGCCCCAGCTCAGACCAGATCTGCCACCAGCTCTGATCCGCAGTCGGCGTTTTAGCGACAACATCTACATCGAGCATGCAGCTGACCTGGTAAGACTGGCAAACATTCCTCTTATTACAGATAATAACCATCAGAAAGCACTTAATGCTGCTTGATATGTGAGCAGGAGGCTCTGCAGGCGTGCGTGTCTCAACGTGTGCCTGTGCTGCTGAAGCGAGGGCTGGTCAGACTGCTGGTGGTGGACTCTGTGGCGGCTCTGTTTCGCAGTGAGTTCCAGGCTGATGAGGCTGTGCAGAGGTCACGCCACTTGCTGGCCTTTTCCAATATACTTCACCACCTGAGTCATGAATATGGTGCACCTGTAGTCTGTGTCAACCAGGTTAGACCGGCATCTCATTTCTAACACCTAATCAGAAAGACTATACAATATGCTCTGCGAACAATATAGATCTTATCATTTGAATTTAAATAACATGCAAATTGTTCTTATGCTATTTCTCTGCTCCAGGTTACAGATGTTGTGGACGGACCAAATCCAGGAAGGTGCGACTATGGGTGAGTGTGTTTGTGTCAGTTTAGCCAGCAGCAAAACGGCCCATATACAGTGGCAAGAAAAAGTATGTGAACCCATTAGAATTGGTCGGTTTTCTGCGTTATTAATGTCATCTGATCTTCATTAAATTCCCAAGTATAGAAAAACACAATGTGCTGAAGCTAATGACACATGAAGTACAACTAAACTATAATCTTTCATGTCATTTATTGAACACATCCCAGTAAATATTCAGCATATTGTGCTTTTCTATACTTGAGAATTTAATAAAGATTAGATCACATTTTTTGACCAATTAATGCAGAATACTAACCAATTCCAATGGGTTCACATAGTTCTTGCCACTGTATAAAAGCTCAGCTCATTTCAGAAGGTTTGGTGTAATTACAAAACTGGACCGAACATATCTTGAGCTTCTGATGCTCTATTATAAGTTGTTTTTAACTTATCAAACACAGGCTGGTAGGCAGTAAGGTGCTTCCTGCATTGGGCATCGCTTGGGCCAACCGGGTGATGGTGAGACTCATGCTCAGGAGACTGGCGGGGCAAGTACAATCAGACAGCCGAAGCAGTGCTCCCCGAAAATTAGAAGTGGTTTTCGCCCCACACCTCCCTCGAGCGAGCTGCCTGTGTGGAGTTTGGGAAGAAGGAGTGAGAGGGATCCCTGATGACCATTCAGACCTGCAGCCACAGGGCTCTTCATGATGAATGATCTGCAAAAGGAGCAGATGGACAGGACTACTTAAAACACAACATGGCAGTTAACAGCTGCTAATGGACATAAATGTTTATAAAGGACATTTGAATGTTTTTGTGAGGAATGGCTAAATTTATACCATTTGAAATGAATGCAAATTATTTTTAATACACAATTCTTACAGGTATTATGTGCAAATTATTTTGTCAAATCTAATCCTATTTTTATGATAATTATTATTATTATTTTGCCTTTGTTACAGAATAAATGTTTTCCTTAGATATATATGTTGTCACAGTTTTCAGGCATAAATATAGTTCCAAGCAGCAATAAGTAAAGTGAATAAAGCCCAATTGTTACCCCTCACCTGCCCTTGAAGAGAACAGGTTATTTTGTTCTTTCATATAAGAAAACAAAGCAAATTCAGTTTGCTCTAGAACTGAGTCCAGTCACTCTTCGATCGATCTACCGACCTACAACACTCAAAACAAGGGCAGATAGCATTAGTTGAGACTAGGCTTTGATATTTCAAACAGAAAGGCAAATAGACATTTTTCAGAAAAGCTGTTGTTTTCTACAATGCTTTCATGCCATGGTGTGCCCCAGTGGTAAACCCTAACTGTGTATCAAAAATGATCATGTGACAATGTAAAATGTTGCACATGATCCTTCTTACCATGAAATCAGTTTTTCTGTTTGGGGGAAGTTCAAACAATAGAATGTATACAGAGAGAGTTTAAGAGCAAAAGAGAAAGATAAATATTTAGTGATTTTTCAAAAAACTAAATTGAAAGAGGGAAAACAGCAACACCCATTTTCAGATCCCCTGTTTTATGGTAATTATCATTCTACCTCTATATCTTTTTGGGACCTGTTATGATGAGTTGAAAGCCATTCGCTCCAGCAGAGGGAGCTGAGATCCAACAAAACTCATCGTGTACATGTCACATGGGATTGCCCTAAAATATAGATCTCATTGACAGTCTGCCTTGCCACTGAAGTGGAGAGACAATGATATCAATGACTGATCCACAGCAAACCAGATAAAGCTTTCTAGTCTATATAACAGATGGCAAAAAGTGCACAGGGAGCTGTTTAAAATTGTTTTAGAAGAAAAACTTTGAGGGATGGCAGTGATTTTTGTGGTTGCTGTGAGACAAGGATGAAAGACATGATATAAAAATGCATTATTTTACTCAGTGGGCCAAGGTTTAGCTGTTTAGCATAGCCTTGTTAGCTATGCTAACCCATTAAACCAATTAACACTGATGGTCATTCAAAATTTGATCTGTATTCACACTACCTTTCAAAAGTTGGGGTCTGAAGTTTTTGAAAGAAGTATCTTATGCTCACCAAAACATAGTAAAAACAGTATTTATCATAATAAATTCGTGAATTATCATAATTTTTTATTTTAACATGTTTTACAATGTAAATTATTCCTGTGATGGCAAAGCTGAATTTTCAACTTCATTACTCCAGACTTCAGTGTCACATGATCCTTCAGAAATCATTCTAATATGCTGATTTGCTTTTTTATTATTGTCATCAATATTCTTTTAGTGCGATTTATTGTCATTCCACTATATGGGGAGACATACAAAGAAACAAATATTGAAAAGCTGCTCTGCTTAATATTTTTGTAATATTAATTCTTTATATTTTTCCAGGATTCTTTGATGAATAGAAAGTTTAAAAGAACAGCAATTATTTTAATAGTAATCTTTTTGTAATATTACATGCATATACTGTCACTGTTGAAGGGGTCATGAACTGATAAATCAAAATTCCTTTAATCTTTTGATATATAAGAGGTCACTGAGCTATAAAAACATCCTGTAAGTTTCAGAACTCAAAACTTTCGTTATTCTAAAAATAGCTTATATTGAAGCCAATCTGCCAAAATGACAGGATGTGGAATGTGCCACTCTATGATGTCATAGTGTGGATAAGCACCGCCTCCGCAGAAGAAGATCAACGCCTGCTTCCACATCACTGCCTGTTTAGCCCCGCCCACCTATTCACACCTGTAGTGTAAATATCAAGATGGGCAAACGCAGGTCTATGCAGAAACCAAACCATAAGCTTTATTTGATAAACTTTATTTTTAATGAAGATCCATACCACGTCAGTAAGAACTTGGTCCTTTGTTCACTTCATTTTACCACAGATTTGTTTACAAACAAGGCACAATCTGACGCAGGATTTTCAGAAGGACTGAAACTAAAAGACGATGCTGTGCTGACTATATTGATACAGACAGCAATGTCGCACCACACGTTTTTATTATGTGCTCACTATTGCTTTGTCCATTATTACAGATCGTTTGATGTGTACTGAGTATTTATGCATTTTAACCTTAAACACAGCAGCGTCCATCTCTGAAGGATATAGGCTGTCAAACATGCACAACTGTTGACCAATCGTAGCAGTGGGCGTTTACCATCTGTCACGCCTATTCAAAATCTTGATAACATTACAAGTGGACCTCAGAGAACAGTACAAAATAATAAAAAGCAGTTCATGACCCCTTTAAACCATTTAATGCATCCTTGCTGAATAAAAGCATTCATTCTTTAAAAAGAAATCTTATTGACCCAAAACTTTTGAACAGTAGTGTATATAACAGATATTTTGTTATATTATATGTTTTATAAGTACCCAGTTTGTTTATGGAGCACCTAGTTTTTCCTCTCTGCTGCCTTTCACATCACATCAATTGATTTATGAGACACGCTGGGTCTAATGAAAGTACTGACCTAACACTGCGGCCCAAACCATATTGCAGATCTGTGAAAAACCCCTGAGTCATCCAACTCTATTTCAGTTTTTCACAGTACATTTAAAACAGGATTTTGCAGCGTACATCCACTACAGTTCCACATTTCAAGATGTCTCTCCAAACGAACGTGCAAACAAGCAAAAATGCCTGGCAGTGATTAAAGTCCAGCTACACAGAAAGGGGTTTTTGAATAGGCCTATAATCCTGTGAAGCTACTTAACACACACACACACACA